TTCATGGATAAATCTCAGGGACTAGGTCAGGCTGCTCCACTGAGACCACTCTGGTTAAAGCTCATAATGCCTGCTTTCCTTCAGCAGCTTCTGTTCAATAACTCCCCTCATTGTGCTGAGTTTACCAGCAGTGTTTTACCCCGTGGAATGGAGCAGCCTTCTTGTATCTTTTAATGCATTGCATTACAGTTGCTTTAACCATGATTTTCTGAAGAGAAAACACAAATGTTCTTGAAATGCTAGGTGAAAATTTGTTGGCTAGTCAATCCTAGCTGATGACAGCTCACTTAATATTGTTTTGGGTTAGGAATAACCACTACTCTTCGTTGAAAATAATCAAGCTACTTATGGAAACAGCTGAAACTAGCAACTTTGTACATTCAAGGCATATGTGCGTGGAAATATTTCCTTGGCTGTTTTTCTTAATGCAGCCTTGAAAGCGAAACAAAAATGACCAGAGAAACTGAGAGAGCAAAGGCATGAAGAAAGCATCTGGTCAAGCTCTTGGCCTGTGTCTCTACGAAAACACTGAGGAGAAAGCTTTTGGTTGAGAGCTAGCTAGAGGGGGCTTGGAGCTACTGGTAAAGAAATTGCCTTCTGCTTGATTCATGCTGTATACTGGGAAACAGGACTCTGTACATACTTTGAAACTAACCACAACTACATTTATTGTCTGATTCCGTCACTTGTTCTTCTTCCTAACAGAAATGAGAGGTGCTGTTCATCACAGCTGAAGTAGCTCCAATTTGACTCCAAAAGGAAATCTAGGGATTTCAAACCACAGCAGAAATCAGCCCAGAGAATCTGGGCAAGACAGGACATTAACAATGGTTTTCACTATTTGTAGCCCCCCAAGAGAGGAGAGGTTCCAGCTCAATTGGTACAAAACCCCACCATCTGTGGGAATCTTATTTAGCTCAGGTCAACAGCTAGGAAGATGAAGAGATGTGAATTTCTTACAGCCAACTTGAGTGGCCCAGTTCAAATGGTGCTACAGAACTTAGCCCAAATATAGACTAACTTATTCAGATATAGTGCAAGTCTCTGATATGTAGTTTGGAACCTTCTGTTTTCTCTCCAGAAAGTAGCTAGTAGCTAGAAGGAAAGAAAAGATCCCATTTAAACTATATGAACTGGCAGAAGACCCAAGGAGACTTGTGCTCCTGGCATACCCAGAAACCAACAAAGATTTCCAGGATATTTTAGCATTTATAAGTTCCCCACAGTCTACATTGGATTTGGATTTGGATTTGAAGCCCAAGATTATCAAAAGTAGGCTGAAGACCACCTGAAACCATTTCCATAGTCAACAGAGGAGCATTTTTTATTTTCAGAATTGAAAAAGGATTCTTCAAAGTGAACTTCTCTGGCTTTTTGGAACCCCTAACATATGGGATACAGATGCTGGTACTTACAGTTTGGAGCAGTATTAATCCAAAATCACAAAGGACCTGGGACAGTGATGACTTTTATAACAACAAATAATCTTCTCCAGTGAGGAAATATTACATTGTCCAAAAGAAATTCTTGACAGTGGTTGAAAGAAAATTGAGCAAGGAATGGGAAATTCTAAAGCCATTTGATGGGAGTATAATTGTTCTGACTTGGTTATGTGATATACCTTGACTGAAAGACACTGCAAACATAGAAATAAGCCAGGTTGTATTGATTGTAATTTGATTAATGGTTTCTTTTCTGGATAGGTTGTTTTTAAAACACCAGCATTTTACTTTCCTTTTGGGCCAGGCAGTAGGCAAAGTTGAGATGGGGGTTGTTGTGGACTGGGCAGGGCATTCTAGGGCTATTGTTTGGTGAAGGTTTATATGTCTGAAGCAGAAAAGACCAGGAATGTGGAGAGAGAAGAGGAGGTTTCAAGTAAACACCAGACAGAGCTACATTTTTAGTCCTTGTTCAGTCTTTCAAAGGAAAAACTCAAAAATTGCCATTTTGGGTTATATGGAATCCTTGGCTTCAAGTCAAGTGGTTTTATAGCAGTAAGTGGCTTTCCTATAACGGAGTAGCTCTCTGGGAGAGAGGCACTCTGGTGTTCCTATAGAGTGGGGATTCTCAACCAGGGTGCTGCTAGATCCTTTAAAAGGTGGGAGAGAGAAGCTGAGCACATAAGTGCAGGCTCAGTTTGCCCTTCCTGGCTGTTCCCCCAGCCCCTCTGCAAGGAGGCAAGCACCGTAGCATATAAATTAGTTTTTCAAATTGAGTATCAATGCGTTCACAAAAGTTATGCAGGGGGCCTCTAGTCCAGTGAGTGCCTTGAGTCCAGACAGTTTGAGACCCACTGCTATAGAAGGTAGGAAATGTATCGCAAGACATGTTCTGCTATGTAGCACCTGGCACCTCATCTTTGTCTGCAGTGCAAATATTAAGACATTTTCCCAGTGAGGAGAGGCTGAGTAGAAAGGAGCTGTACTAGAGATCAGTTGTTCATGGCATGCTTCTGCTACAGCTGCAGAGAATTAAAATAGCAAATTGTAGCAGGCTCTATTGCTGTTCCTTGTGTTACTGACTCCTTTGACAGAGGAAGGCCCACATAGGAATGGCAGGGGGATTGGGTGGAGACTGTAGCAGCATAGCCATCAAGCCAGCCACCCTGGGGGTGGGAGACTGGTCAGTACAAAGAGGACAGGCATTCAACATGTACATCTCCAGATATGCTGAGCGGGATTCCCCAAAGATCATCAGGCTTGATGTGGCGCAGTAGATGTGCCTTTGCCTCATCCACCTATTTGCAGCCAGTAAACAGAAGGAAACAGAACAGTGAGTAAGGGAGGTTTAGGTTGTATTTTAGGAAGAACTTTTTAACCTGGAAGATGTTCTGCACCTAGAACCCATTACCTGCAGAAGGTATGTGGAATATCCATCACTAGAGATGTTTAAATGCAGATTAGACAAATACTTGGCTAGCCTGATTTAGACTGGATGGCCTCCTGAGGTCTCTTATCACCCTATTTATCTATGATTCTGTTATTTGCCTGTGATTTCCTCCTGTGTGTGCAGCAAGCAGTGTGTGATATGGACAATCACACACAGATTCATAGATTGTAGAGTTGGAAGGGACCCCAAAGGATCATCGTGTCTGACCCCCTGCCCCAGGCAGGAAAAGGACTGAGGTCAGATGACCCCAGCCAGGTGATTGTCTAGCCTCCTCTTGAAGACCTCCAAGTTAGGTGACAGTACCACCTCTCTTGGCAGCCCGTTCCAGCAAAATTATCCCTTTCCATAGGAAAAACCCGAAGAAGAAAATCATTAGGGAAAAACCCAATGATCTCATGAGGTCTCTTCTAGCCCCTAACATCTTTGAATCTATGCCAGGGGCGTACACATGCATAAGCACATTGGCATCTCTACACCAGATCACTTAGTGGACAGTTTTTTGTCCTAACAAATTATTCTAAGAAATCTCCATATAGTTTCATAGTTTCTAGGGTTGGAAGGGACCTGAGCAGATCATCTAGTCCGACCCCCTGCCATGGCAGGAAAGAGTACTGGGGTCAAACAACCCCAGCAAGGTGTTCATCTAACCTCCTCTTAAAACCCCCCAGGGTAGGAGCCTGCACCAGCTCTCTTGGAAGTTGGTTCCAGACCCTAGCCGCCCTGACCGTGAAGTCACGCCTCCTGATGTCCAACCTAAACCTACCCTCTGCCAGCTTGTGACCATTATTCCTGGTCACTCCTGGTGGTGCTCTGGGGAACAGTGACTCCCCCAATGCCTGCTGATCCCCCCTGACTAGTTT